TAGTTCATTTTCAAATGAGAATGTTACACCAGCTGAATTAGAAAGATATTATCAATTTGATCACTACAGTTTAATTCCACAAGACGAGATTGACAACTTAGATATTTTACAATGGTGGAAGATAAATGAACGGTCATATCCAATATTATTAAAAATGGCCCGACATCTACTAACAGTTCTAGTCTCAACAGTGGCATCGAAATCTGTTTTTATTGCAGATAACAGAGTGCTAGATGAAAGAAGATCAAGACTTAAAAAAGATATTTTAGAAACTCTCATCTACGTGAAAGACTGGTTATTTGCAGATAGAAGAATACAAGATAAAGTTGCTGACAATATTGCTCAGGACTTTAAAAATCTTATCGTAGATGAATAGAATCTGATTTGTAATGACGAAATTATAGTTAAGTAGGTGCCAACCTAGTTGGGATGTACTTTAACTATAAGTTTATAAATAGTTAAAAACTGTTTAATTTGTCAAGTTAGGCAAAATATTGTTCGAAAAATTGTAAGTTTTTTTTATTATTTAGTTATTGATGTAAAATTTATCGAAAAATAAATCAATGTAAAATTTATTTTTATGTAACTTTTATCGGTTTTCACTATAATTATTTTTACCATTTATTTTTGAAAAAAAAAATCTTGCCTAGCGGACCGACCCGGCACATGCGGGCTTGCGCTCTGGGTCAGGTCAGCCCTTCCTCCCCCCCCCCCCCCGGTCCCGGCCGGACCTGCCTGGAAAGCCCGCATGGGCCGGTTCTATTTTTTTAATCGGGTTGTACTCGGGCTTCTTCATCTACCGACCGGCCGGCCCGGCCCGCCCATTTTTACATATCTAGGTATGTGAGAGAAAACATGAGTCAATGGCAGTGTTGTGCTACTTGTGTCGAATAAAGATGGGACTTAGAGGATGTACAAAGACTGCCAGGCGATTAACAACATAACAGTAAAATATTGTCACCATACATTGGATGAATTACATGGATCATGCATTTTTAGTAAAATAGATCTTAAAAGTGGATATCGTCAAATTAGAATGAGAAATGTTGATGAGTGGAAAACTGCTTTTAAGACTAAATATGATTTATATGAGTAGTTAGTCATACCATTTGAACTAACTAATGCACCTAGCGCGTTTATGAGATTAATGAATCATGTCTTGTGTGCATATATAGGTAAATCCATAATAGTTTACTTTGATAATATCTTGGTATGTAGTAAAGATTTGAATGAGCATATAAGGCATTCAAAATGTGTAATTATAGTCTTAAGGCAAAAAAAAAACTTTTTGGTAACTTTAAAAATGGTACATTTTGCATGAAAAAAGTTGTTTTTCTTGGTTATGTTGTTAGTGCTAAGAGTATTGAAGTGGATGATGAGGAAATCAAGGCCACGAATGAGTGGTTAACGTTTAAAAGCATAACCAAGGTAAAAAAGCTTTCATGGTTTAGCTAGATTTTATAAGCATTATGTTAGAAATTTTAGCAAACTTGTCACCACTCACGAAAATTGTGAAGAAAAGTATAGAATTTCATTGGGGCGTTAAACAAGAACATGCTTTTAGCACTATTAAGGATAGATTGTGCAACGCACCGATTTTTTTACTACCTAACTTTAACAATACTTTTGAGATTGAATGTGATGCCTCAGGAATAGGTATTGAAGTTGTCTTAGTGCATGAACGAAGGCCAATAGCTTACTTTAGTGAAAGCTAAGTAGAGCAACTCTCAACTACCCTACATATGACAATGAGTTGTATGCACCTATTTAAGCTTTGGAGACATGGCAGCGCTACCTATAACCAAATGAGTCGTGATTCACATTGATCAGTCCTTGAAACATTTAAATGGTCAAAGTAAACAAAACAAGAGGCATACAAGGTGGATGGAGTTCATTGATATATTTCCATATGTTATTCGGTACAAACAAGATAAAGAAAATGTGGTAGCGGATGCATTGTCAAGGAGGTATGTAATTCTAATTTCTTTATGTGTCAAATTGCTAGGATTTGAATATGTCAATGACATGCATACTAATCACCTGGACTTTTCTAATATATATGAATAATGTGATAAATGTGCTATAGATAGATTCTTTAAGCATGATGAATATTTATTTTGAAAGAATAAGTTATGTGTACTTAGGTGTTCATTGAGAGAATTTTTAGTACGTAAAGCACATAGTGGAGGTTTAATGGGTCACTTTGGAATTAAGAAGACTTTGGATATGTTAAATGAACATTTTTATTGGCCTAAGATGAAAATTGATGTAGATCAAGTTTCTATGGGCAAACTAAGATTGTTAATAGGACTATGATACAACTATTGCGCACTATAGTCAATAAGAACTTAAAGAGTTGGGAGAATTGCTTGCCATTTATAGAATTTGCATATAATAGAGTCACACATTCTACTACTTCTTATACTCAATTTGAAATTGTTTATGATTTTTTTTTAATCCACTAATACCTTCGGATTTAATTCATTTACTTGTTGATGAGAGATGTAGCTTAAAAGGAAAGAAGAAGGTCGAGTTGGTAAGATCCCTCCATGAGAAGGTACGGCTTCAGATTGAAAAGAAAAATGAGCATAAAGCTTCTCAAGCAAATAAGGGATGAAAGCGCGTTAAATTTGAACAAGGAGATTGGGTTTTGGTGCATATGAGAAATGAACACTTTCCAGCTAAAAGGAAATCAAAGTTGCAAGTGAGAGGAGATGGACCACTCTAAGTGCTTGAAAAAATAGATGACAATGCCTATAAGTTAGATCTTCCAGGTGAGTATTTTTGCTACTTTCAATTTTTTATCTTTCTTCGTTTGATGCATGTAGAGATTCGAGGACGAATCCTTTTGAAGATGGAGGGAATGATGAGAACCATGGTACGGGAATTAGCAAGGACAAGGACCCGTTGATCGTGGAGGAAGGACCGATAACTAGATCACGAGAAAAGAAGGTCAAAGAAGCGATGGAATTACTTGTTTAAACTACGGTGAGTGAAACATTTATCACAACAAGTAAAATGATAAGTTTCATATTGGAGTTGGAAGACGGAACAAGGTGGATTGAAGCAAGGGACAATGAAGCCGTGAAGGTTAACTATGCAACCACATAGTATTCTAAGGCTCGTGACTGCATGCATCCATACGCGACCAAAATTGAAGGCAGGAGATTAGCCTATGCGATCGCATGCAATAAACCTATGCGGCCACATAGCACGATTTTGGGCATGTCTTTTTCAAAGTTCGCCCAGAATTTTATTTTATTTAAAACTCTTTTACGGTATCTTTTTAAACATCTTTTAGGTATAATTCCATTTTAACTAGGTTTTATGGATTCCGTATAAATATGATTATTCTTTTCATTGTAAAAAACACACAAGTTGAGAGATACTATTGCAAGACATATTACTTTCTACTCGTTCTTTATTTAATCTATTCCAAATTTATCAAGAATTAAATTTTTGTGGCATGCAACAATTTAAGTAAAGTTCATAAGTTTTGTGATCACAGGGTCAAGATATTGTTGGTGATTGTCTTGGTTCTTTGATTCGATAATTTATTGGGTCGAGTTTTTCAAACTTTGATTCTTGGTTTTCTTGGATTTGATCTAATCCTTCGTGGATTTCGTAACTTGAATTGCTACGTGGTTTGCATTAGAATGACTTTAGTTCATTTTTCTTCCTTTAACACTATCGAGCACTTTTTAGCAACTTCGCCAAACAAGAAAATAATGTATAAAATACAAAAGCAGGCTTTAGAAAACTTATCTTTTCCACCAATCCGGCACTTTCAGCCTCCTGCTCCTATGTACAGCAGGATTTACAGCAGGAAGTTTATCCCGAACCATCGCTAAATCATATCAGCATCTTCCTTCTTCGGGGGTACTGGTATTCAAAGTGATGTGAAATGCTCCGAAGTCTCAACCACATTTTCATCCATTTTTCTTCCAGGATTCCCTTCAACTGATCAAGCATGTAGTCCGGTTTTAATGCCTCTTTAACCGAGAAGAAGATTGAGATCTCCTTGTAGTCTATTTCACTTTCGTAGGGTAGTTCGATTTTATCACTCACTATAACAGGAACACAGTGGCTCACGATGGCATCAAAAAGGCGGCAAGATGATGGAGTGTCTCCCGTAGGATTTAAACAGAATTTGGATGAACGCATTCCTTCAGTCGACTAGTTTAAGAAAAAAAGGCGGATGAAGTGTTAGATGGAGAAGATAATAGTTCATTTTGTTCAAAAAGAAAATTTTATGGGAGAATTTGTAACGACTCTACTAAAGGAGCTCCTTGCAGCGAGTATGGTCAAACTTTTCGCTCCCTTAATAGAATTTACAAGAAGAATGCTTGTTCACAACATTACAATATCTCAGGCAGATGATTTGGTTGTGAAATGCATTACTTAAGGAAGCAAGCACATTTGGCCAGGCTTAAAAAAGTGTTGTACGTAAATAAATGAGTTTTATTAAATGATTGTTTTATTGGTCATAGTTGTAAATAAGCTATTTATTTTGATAGTAACCTAAAAGTCACTTTTTACTCAAAAGTTGGAAAAATATTAAGTTATCTAAACGTGATGAAGACATAATTTTGATTGAAATTTTTGATGTTTGCAAATATCTATGGCATCGAGGAAGCAAAGGAAAGCAAATGCAGCACCCAAAAGTAAAATTTCTAGTACACTGAAGAAAATGTGGCCATAGACTGAAAATAAAAAATAAAAATAAATAAATAAAATCGATATTTCCATATAATTGAAATAAAAAATACCACCTAGAACTTGATTTTATTCACAGATTTTTTTCACTGACAGAAGAGAGAAAATTACAAGGAAAACTTACCATTCTAAATCCTTCTTTGATGCAATGTCTTCTTCATAAATGACATGTTCATTTTTTCCTTATATTCTTTCAGTTTAGCACGAACTAGTCCCTTCTGCGCATGAATACGTCACAAGAATATTTTGCTTCATAAAAGCATAAGGGTTACTTTTTTTAATTGGCACTACGCCATACCTCTTTCCTCACAGTACTACTCATACGGATCCTCTTTGTTATCACTGAGATATGATTCCACCATGTGTAGATATGAGGCAACAACATCTTTTGCCAGTCGAGAATACTCATTATGCGACCAAAATCAGCAACAATAAATATGGAAGCATTCACTTTATCACGATTAATTCTGAAAGCATTAGGATGATTGTTGTGAAATAAATCACCGGATTGAGATGTTGAAGTTATATGGCACAATAATGATGTGAACACAAGTAAAAGAATAAAAAAGACAAGAAATATGACAGAAGAATTAAGAGATTTTATTGGCCAAAAATAATGGAGAAGAGAGAAATTTATAATGGATCCTATAATTCTAGTAATCTATTTTTTCATACTTATAAAATTGGATAAAAGAGTCTAATATTTATAGGGATCATGTAGGGGACATTCAAACCCTCTTAGTAGAATTATTAATGAAGTAAGATACCAAAAAATTGAGTCCAAAACTAAGTAGGAGAAAAAATGCGGAAAAAAACCCGAATAGAACAGGTGGTACCGCGGCGCCCACCTCCGGGCACCACGGCACCGGGCAACCTGTCCGAAAAAAATATTTTTTTTCTATCCCAAACTCTTCTTCAAATCTATACTAATTTTCAAGTCTCAATGGACTTCCAAAATAAAACTTCAACTTGACATATGACTCCAATAGCATTCCAAACTGAATTCTCTTTGACGTGCACTTCAATTAGAATTCTTCAATACTTCAAACACTTCAACAAAGGAATTCGTACTCAAATTCCAACAATCTCCACCTTGGCATGAATTTCATTCAAGGAACGAACATACTTCTTCAACAAAAATCAAAAATTAACTTCTCCAACAAAACACAATACTCCACATGTTCAAATGAATCTAAGCACTACTCTTCTAGAATTATATCAGATTTCCAAAAATCATAATGATTTTATAATTTTCCAAAATGGGTTGTAACATACCCCAAAGCAGAATCAAACTCAAATGTTTTTAAAGAAGGCATCTTGCTAGATTGTACGTCATCTACTCCACTTAAAGCATGCTCGACAAAATCAACATCCACATACCTTTTCCACTGGGTTCGTCCCTAACAATTGAATACGATGACACTGCATGTGATGGTGGCAAAATGACATTATCCATATCTCCTGAACTCCACTGAGCAGTATTCTTCAAATCCAACCATTTATGAGTTCCTAAAGGTGTTATACCAAACTGAATGTCCACCACGGTATTGAACTCGTGCTGATTGACTCTTCTAAATTCTGCACGACCTTGCAAGATGTATAATTGAGACCTTTTCTATCCCTCCAATACAACTTGGGCACCTTTACAAACCTTCAAGACTCCACGTCCACTAAAGAACTCATAACCTTTTGAATCAAGGATAGACAATGAGATGAGATTCTTCTTCAAATCCAGAACATGTCGAACATGGCCAAGTGTTTTAATTGTTCCATCCAAAAGCTTCAATCCGACCGTATTAATTCTAGTAACCGGACAAGGTACGTTGTTTTCCATAACCACGACACATTTGGAAATGGTTTCATATGTAGTAAATAAGTCCTTATTATGACACGTATGAAACATACATGCTGAATCAAGAATCCAATCCTCCTTTGGTTTAAACTCAATATCAAAAATAGTTAAGAGATCTCCATCACTCACAACGTTCTCCGCGATTTCTGCTTCGCCTGAAGTATTTGAATATGAAAAGTAATTTCACTCACAACGTTCTCTTCGAGGTCTGCTTCTCCTAAGTTTTGATACCACTTGTTGTGAAACAAACTATCGAATTGAAATGTTGAAGTTATATGGCACAATAATGAAGTATGTGACACAAGCAAAAGAATAAAAAAAGGACAAGAAATATGGCAGAAGAATTAAGAGATTTTATTGAACAAAAATAATGGAGAAAAAAGAAAATTACAATGGATTATATAATTCTAGTAATCTATTTTCTCACACTTATAAAATTATATAGAATAGCCTAATATTTATAGAGATCATGTAGAAGATGTCCAAACCCTCTTAGTAGAGTTGTTGCTGAAGTATGATGCCAAAAAAGCGAGTCCAAAACGAAGTAAGAGAATAAAAATGAGGAAAAAAACTCGAACAGAACAGGTGGCGCCACGGCGCCCGGCAATCGGCCCGGAAAAAATATTTTTTTTTTTTATCTAAAACTCTTCTTCAAGTCTAATATTCATTTCTGACTCCCAATGGGCTTCCAAAATAGAATTTCAACTTGACATAGAACTCTAATAGCATTCAGAAATGAACTCCTGGACGTGCACTTCAATTAGAATTCTTCAATACTTCAAATACTTCAACGAAGGAATTCAGATCACACTCAAATTCCAACAATGGTGTATAGGATTTACATGGTCCCATCCAGCAAACCTCTACCACTGTTCAGATCCTCTTAAAATCTCAACAGTTTCATGTTGCAATAAGTATCAACGAATATCTAATTCTAACCCTGCAAAGAAAAATCAATATCGGAAGCCTAATGAAATGAAAGATTAATCATAATTCCAACCATCAGACAGTATAATTAAGTCCATCTACATGTAATATACTGATGGGGATAAAACTACAATATTATCATTTATGCCTAATCCCTTTTAAGTTGATAAATTATTGTACCTCAGACAATTTTTTTCATAATTGACTAACTTGTTCGAGATAATAACAAGGTGATCAGAACTCATCTAATAAAGAAATAGACGAAGTGATAGATGAGGTTTTGAGCTCCCCAACTTATTAACAATCATTTGGCCTACAAAATCAAAATGACCTACACCTTAATTCTGTCAGTTGACAACTACTTTAAGGAATGAAATTGAGAGAGAATTTATCTCGTTTGCTAAGATCTACTTACAGTCACATCCAGTGAAACAGTATTGCTTAAAAGAAAGTAAATGATTGCATAGTCAAGAGGAAAATGTTGGCAATATTTGGGCCTAAAAATAGGAGACGGAGAACATATTTGGATAAGCTTAAAAAGTTTGCTCAGGTATGTAACCATCAAAGTAACTTTTTATGTTCATAGTTGGTAACAAGAGACATATTTTTTCAAATAGGTAACTTACTTTCAAAAAATGTAACATTTTTTACTTGAAAGTAAGAAGAGAATAAGTTATCCAAATACGTTCATTAACAAGATTTGCTAAAGCTTTGCCAAACATGCTGTCTGATCTTAGGTTTTTTGTTTCAAATTACCATTACACAAATCACATCACATCACATCTTAACACTTGAATGCACGTATATGAAACCATATACGTTGTTATTTATTGAGAGATTTATGTTGTTACATTAGAAGGAGATTCTTCAATAGTTTAACATCTCTTAAGGATGCAAATTAATGATAATCAATACTCATCAATCGCTAATCTGTTAGCTTTGATGGATGATGTGGTTTTTAATTGACTTGAATTAAGGATGTTAAAAACTTAAAATAACATGGTTTCTTGCAGGTTTGGCAGATGAGGATAGGACCTAGATTTTTTACCATACCATGAGCATGTAGGGAAATGTGGCTTTCTTACAAGTCATGGGACCCACAAATTGTGTGGACAAAAATGCACACAACTTAGGGTCCCACATCTTATAAGCCAAATAGGTTGGGAATCTCGAAATCCATTTTTGCACTAAAAGATTGACGAGCATAGTTCTACTTGCTCCAACAAACAATATTTAAAACGTACATGACCACCCGACGGAGATTGTGTTCATTATGTGGGAGATTAGGATAGAAAAATACACACTTATTGTAGGTGCAAATTTAGAAAGTAGATAGTAATTTGTATTCTCATTATAATTTCTAGTCAAAAAAGTTGAGAAACCTTTTCATTTGATATTTTAATATTAGAATTTCTAAGTTTTTCAATTTTGCTTTTCTCCTCTCTTTATCTCTCTTTCTCTTTTTACCTGTCAACATCAATTAGGATTCGAGCTTTCTTTCTTTTGGTCAAATTCTTCTAAAAATAGAGACATTTTGTGAACCATTCAAGAAGCAAACAGAATATATGTCGGCCAAGTCTGATTTTCTCAGCTGATCCGTCAGCCCATTAACATGGTCAACCCAACCAGCACTTAGCCCAATAAGATTTCTACCAATCAAATTCATCAT